TAATCATCCTTTTACATTGTGTCAGTGTCTGTCTCTTGTCCTAGATTGCAAATCCTTTAAGAAAAGCAACCATATAAAGCCCATCTTTGAATTCCCAATATCTAGCTTAGTGCCTGTTGGATGAGTGGATGGATGGAAATGTGAATGGATGAGTGAATGAGTAAATGACCTACAGTTACTATTTAAGATGACATACTGCCTGCTGCCCTCTAGGGGCTATTTCTTCTCCAATGCTGCATCCAAGGCAGGGTGTTGAGATGTTCCTGGCAATGTCCTTGCTCTTCATGGCTTCTGATGACTCACTTTCCAATTTAGGCCAAAGTTTCTCCTCCTGTTACGACACTCTACTTCTCCAATTACATCATTGATATACTTCCAGTAATTCTTCTCATTTACTGAGAACTTTCATACCAAGACCATAGTCCTTCTCTCCACCCTAGCAGCAGTGACTTCCAGTCCCATGTAGTTCACCTTCTTGAACATTAATTCCAAGTTTCTTCCTCATCCCTCACAAGCTCTCCATACCTTACTCGGGAAATCATTACATGGTGACACCCAGACTTCATCATCACAAAAATGTTTCTACATCTAAATACTTAGGCTTTGTAGTAAGTCAAATAAGTGCCCCTCCCCAAAGATAACCACATCCTGATCCCCAGCACCTATGACTTACTACCTTACATGCAGAACAGACGTGGAAGATATGATAAAGTTAAGGCTTTTGAGATGAGAAGGTTACCCTGTATTATCTGAGAAGGCTCAATGTAATCACAGGTCCGTAGAAGAAAGAGGAAGGCAGGAGAGTCAGAGGGAAAGAAGGAGAAGCAGAGACTGATGCAAAGTGGGACCATGAGCTAGGCCACGCAGGTAGTTGGAAAAGGCAAAAAAGCAGACTCAGCCTTACAGCCTGTTTTAGACTTCTGACTTCTAGAACTGTAAGAGAATGAATGTATGTTGCTGCAAGCCAGTAAGTTTGTGGTAATTCAGCTAGAGCAGCAATAGGAAACTAACACAGGTTCCAATAGAACAGTCTATAACCACAAACTTCCCTCTTCTGGCTCACTCATTCTCCCCGCACATCCAAACCTAGACTCACACTCGCTCTCCTGGCTCCATTTCTTTCCCTAAACACCAAGACATCATGATTTTAAATTTTAACAGCTCTATTCTCAGAATGTCAGTTTCTTAACCACTTATTCTTTCATTTCATCTGCTCTGATATCTCAAGTGCTGCAAAAGAACAGCCTCCTGCTTTCTTCTCTCCTATACTGAAAATACTAAATGTCACAGGAGAAAATAACTCAACACTATTTGGTGCCACTTCAGTTTCATGACATTTAACCTCAGCTATGTCCTTAGTCCCTCTTTATTCTTTTACATGACCTTCATTAGTTCCCTGTTCTAATTATTTTTTTACCAGAAACATGAATATTTATTTACTTGTTTGTTTGTTTGTATTTACTGCACTATTGGGGTGGCATTGGTCAATAAAATTTATGTAGGTTTCAGGTGTATAGTGCTATAATAAATCATCTGTATATTGTACTGTGTGTTCACCATTCTAAGTTAAATCTCCTTCCATCACTATGTACCCCCCTTTACACTCTTCTACCTCCCACCAACCCCCTTTCCCTTTGTGTAATCTCTGTGCTATTGTCTATGTCTGAGTTGTTGTTTTTGCTGCTTAATCCCTTCACCTTTTTCACCCAGCCCTGCAACCCACCACCCCTCTGACAGCTGTCAGTCTGCTCTCTGAATCCGTGAGTCTGTTTTTATTCTGTTTGTTAGCTTATTTTGTTCATTAGATTCCAAATACAAGTGAAATCATATGATGCTTGTGTTTCTCAGACTGGCTTATTTCACTTAGCATTAATGCTCTTCAGGTCCATCTATGCAGTCACAAAGGGTAATATTTTCTTCTTTTTATGACTGAGTAATATTTCACTGTATAAATAAATTATAGCTTTGTTATCCACTCATCTTCTGATTGGGCAAATCTTCACTATTGTAAATAATGCTTCAATAAACATAAGGGTGCATATATTCTTTTGAGTTAGAGTTTCAGGTTTCTTTAGATATATTTCTCAACACCAAAAACACAAACAATCCAATAAAAAGTGGGTAAAGGATCTGAATAGACACTTCTCTAAAGAGGACACAGAGATAGACAGTAAACATACGAAATGATGCTCAACATCACTAGTCATCAAAGAAATGCAAATTGAAACCACAATGAGACATCACTTCACACCTGTCAGAATGTCTATCATCAATAAATCAACAAATAGCAAGTGTTGACAATGATGCAGAGAAAAGGGATCCTCATGCACTGTTGGTGAGAATGTAGATGGGTGCAGCCACTGTGGAAAGCAGTATGGAATTTCCTCAAAAATTTAAAAATGGAATTGCCTTATGACCCAGCAATTCTACTTCTGGGAAGAAGACCTGTTCTAATTCTACTAACAGTAATTCCAAGTCATTAGTTCTTCTCAAGTCACCTGTCCAACGTTCCCTTTAGTAAGTTCCTGTGAGTTCCATTTTTGAGAGAAAATCAAGGTGTGGCCTGAGTCACCTGTAACATAGCCTCTTGTTGCAGTTCCCCTTGCTCATTGTCCCCACTTGTTTTGTCATTGATGCCTCTGTCTAACAGACTACACCTTCCTCTTCCCCTTGCTCTACCTACCCTACATTCACCTAAAAAAAAAAACTTTCTTGTATCTTTTTCTTTCTATAAAGACTTTATTGGCACCAGCCAATTCCCCACTTGACCACCACTCCTTAGTGTTCCCATTTCATTTTATATACATCTCTTGCAACTGTCATCCTACATGTGATAATGTTTGATTGCAGTGGCCTAATTTATGCGTCTCTGTCTGTTAACTAGACTGAGAACCCTTGAGATGAACTACAGTGTCTTATTAGTCTTGTTATAGCCAGCACTCTAGGACTATGACTATAATGTTTTGAGAAATAGTAAGAAGGAAAAAAGGAATGACCTAGAGAGATAGTGAGCACTGTGTCCAAACAGCCAGCCTCTTCCCACCAAACATCAGGCCTGCTTTTCACCTGCTCCCAGTGATTAGTCTGTTTGGAGACTGGAGTTTGCCCCAGCACCCTAGGCAGTGCCCTCACACCGGTCAAGATGACAAGTGCACTGGCATGTTCATCTGAGAGCTCTGCTCCTTCATCAAATGCACCTCAGAATCAGGAAGGTATTCTTGGCTACCTTGGTGCTCTAGACCATCTGGTTAGTTGGCACGGCACCCACTTTCAAAGTCAGTTTCTTACTACTCTGAACAGCCCAGATTATGCTGCAGAGTAAATTTTCTCTCTGAACTGTCACAGGGAAACCTTCAGAATCTTCATCAGTACCTCCCTTACCCCCTTCTTTATTTTAGTTCTCAGTTAGGTGGCAGGGATATTTCTCCAGAGCATCAATGTGATCTTCCAACTGCCCATGAAGACAATAGAATGGTCTGGGAGCACAAACACTGGCAGTCCCCATTTCCCCTGTTCCTTTGCTGCGGGAAGGAGAACAGCAGTGGAGGGATCAGCATTCTAGGATCTCAGGGATGTGCCCAGTCTGCTTTGTGGACAAAATTTTGCTTTAGAAGTGATAGTCATAAATTATGCCCCACGTCTAAATGGTTCTTTTTGCATTCAAAAAAATCTTTACCCCAAAAGGAGAAATGAAGATGAAAGAAGCAGCCAAAATAGGCTTCTTGCTGACACAATTTTGGGTGGGAGTTTGCCTGAAGATTCCTCTAAGTATCAGGGAATTAATGTTGTAATGACGAAAGGCTGCTAACAGCATGGAAAATGCTGAAATGGGCCATCATAAGCAGCTTTATAAAAATCATGTACAACCTGTGCCAAAATAAAAAAAAAATAACCACATTGCAGACAGAGGTTCTAGAGACCAAGGTTCTAGGGGAAGGGAGCCGGCCTCACATGAAACTGGCACAAACATTGTTATGCATGGTCAGTGTTACTGTCAGATATTTAATCTTTTTATTGGTAATTTTGTCTGTCTAGACAACTGAAGGAACATTTAAAAAAAAACATAGACCCTATTCCAAAGCACACATATTAAGAGAATGGTCTGAAAACACACCTTCTACCTCTGCCTTCTTTTCTTATATATTTGGAAAGGAATGGAGAAGAAATGAAAGGGAATGGAAAGAAATTCTCACCTTTGAGGATTCAGCATAAAAGGTACCTCCTTTTTTAGGTCCCCTTTTAACCACTGCAACCTACAGTGATCTTTCCTGTGAATATCTGTAAGATTTTGCATTTTACTGTATTCCATACTGACTTGTATTATTAGGTATCCACTAATGATCCAAGGACTCATCTCTCCAGTTAGCTGCAAGCTCCTTGAGGATAAGGACTGCTTATTCCTCCACACTACCTTCCAGAGTGGTTGACTATGGCACTACCTTCCAGAGTGACCGACTACGGCAGATGCTTGAAGTATTGGTTCGTTCGGGTAATGCCACCAGCAAATAATTCCAAATCGCAAATATGATTTTGCTATACAGTATATGAACTTTAAGAAACAAAGTTATCTTTGTATTAATGTTCTATGTCTTGTATTCTGCAATTCCCAAGAATAAGTTCAAAGAGTTGCGTATTGGGGGCGACGGGAGTGCATTGGAGGAAACCAGTGAACGTTCAAAAGTGTCCATTCAGTGGGAAACTGCGCACATGGGATTAAAATAAACTGGATTGAGAGTCTTCCCTAAGCAGCAAAATGTGTTGGCTGACGTCATTTAGTAATCAGAGCTAGGAGTCTGGGTCTTTGAGCGTTCCTTGCCACTTCGGCAATTTGCGTACTCTCTTGGCAACTGCGCACTCTGCACTGGTGCAGGTCTGGAGACCGAATTGTGTAGTGATGGCATGGCGGCTCCTCAACACCAGGGGGCGCGGAGCAGCGCCGCGTCTGCGGGCGCAGGGCCGCTCTCCCAGCATGCCTTGCTCCCGCCGACCGCGACCCGGAAGCTGTCGTTGGCGGCCGCCGGCCGGCAGCCCCGGCGGAATCTGGGCTGCGGAGCGCAATCTCCCGTCCCGGCTGCTCCTTCCCGGCGGAGGATCTCTCCGAAGCCGGAGAAGACACCATTGAGCCCACCACGCGCCCGGGCTCGGTCTGGACGCGCCGCCCTGGCGGTGTGTGATCCTTCCAATCCGGCCCGGCCCTCGGCGTCTGTAAGTGTTCGGGGAGAGACCTCCTAAGGCCCTGCATCGCCCTCCGGAGGTTGCAACGAGGCCCTCCGGCCCCGACATTATGAGAGCCACGAAGCCAGGGCGGGAAGCAGAACTGCCCCTGTCGCTTTGTGGTGCCTGTAGGACGTCGAGGGCCCACATCCTCAGCCGGGGTCGCGAATAGCACCCCAGATTTCCTAGTGTCCGGGACAAAGTTATGCCCCACTCCCCAACACCGAAATAAAATAGAAAAAGGGCAGTCATCTGGGGCAGTCCCCTAGTCCTTTCAATCATGCAGGCAGAAACAGTGTCCTCGCTACAAAAGACCACAGCGGTGTCCAGCTTTGGCCTCAGTGACCTGCTCAGTAGCCGGAAGCTGATGGCTGTAGGGGTCTTGCTTGGCTGGCTCTTGGTCATCCACTTTCTGGTCAATGTGTGGCTTCTCTGCCTTCTGTCTGCATCGTTCATGGTGCTGGGAGGATGGCTGGGCTCCAATGCCATCGTGGGGGCTTCAGGTCGACTGCACCTGGAACGCTTCATCCCAATGGCCATCTGCCCCCCAGACCCCAAGGCAGAGAGGCAGCTGGAACAGGAGATCAACCGCACCATCCAAATGATTATTCGGGACTTTGTGTCATCCTGGTATCGCTCAGTGAGCCAGGAGCCAGCCTTCGAGGAAGAAATGGAGGCGGCCATGAGAGGACTGGCGCAGGAGCTGCGGAGAAGGATGGGCATGGTGGACAGTCATGCTCTTGCCCAAAGGGTTCTGACTCTCTGCGGTTGCCACCTGCAGAGCTATATTCAGGCAAAGGAGGCTACAGCAGGAAGGCAGAGTGGTAGAGTTGAGCCTTCCCAACTCTGGGAGGCATACTGCAGGGCAACTGCCCCACATCCTGCGGTACATAGCTCCAGTGCTGAGGTTACCTATACACGCAGGATTGTGAATTTGTTGCTTCAAGGACTCGTGCCAAAGCCCCACTTGAAGACTCGGACGGGACGCCATGTAGTGGTCGAACTCATTACTTGCAATGTGATCTTACCACTGATCAGCAAGCTGTCAGATCCTGACTGGATCCACCTTGTACTCGTGGGCATCTTTTCCAAGAACAGAAATGATACAGCAGTAGTTAAACCACTCTGTCCAGCCAGTGCCCCGGAACAGCCCTCAGCGCCCACATCTCTGCCGCTGGTCACTGAGGTACAGACTCCGCCAGAAGTAAGAGCCCCTTCTCCAGCTGCAGCCCCGGTGCTCCTAAACTGTAATGAGCCAGAGGGACTGTTGCGCTGCTCCCCAGAAGTTGAAGAAGGCCATGAAGTTATAGAAGGAGATTTGGGTGGAGTGCCAGAAGAAAGAAAATTAGGGAACAGCTCATCTCATTTCCTCCAGCCAGATATCCGAGGCCCTCTGTTCTTCTGTGAAGATGCAGAGCTGGAATCTCCACTGTCTGAACTGAGCAAAGAAACCATTCTGCTCATGACCCCAGGCGCCTTCCTGTCAGACAGGATCCAGGATGCCCTGTGTGCCCTAGAGGGCTCCCAGTCTCTCGAGTCTAAGGATGGTGAGGGATCTGAAGGAATTGAAGGAGCAGAGGCTGAGGAAGGTCCAGGAGCAGAAACAGAAACAGGCCTGCTGGTCTCCATACTGAATTCCTGCCCAGAGATCCAGATTGACACCACAGACAAGGAGGCAGAGCAAGATGTCACCTCTCTTACACCTTTGCTGGCGAGTCCAGAAAGGACCTGCCCGCCACGACCCTCATGCTTAAAGAAAGATCTTACCAATGGTGTGAGCTCCTTAGACCCTAGTCTGCCACAGGTTCTGCTTTCCTCCTCTCCAACTGGTCCTCTCAGCTCAGCCACCTTCAGCTTTGAGCCCCTGAGCAGTCCAGATGGCCCAGTTGTCATCCAGAACCTACGCATCACTGGCACCATCACTGCTCGAGAGCACAGTGGTACCGGATTCCACCCATACACACTCTACACGGTGAAGGTAACAGGACTGGAACTGTGGTCACTCACTCTGGGCTTGGAATGGGTTTAGAAAGCAGTCAGTGAAGCTAGGGTTCTGAGGGAGAGGGGCTACTCTTTGCTGTGAGTCTGAAGTTCATTTGTAGAGTGGAGTAGGCTTCTATCCAATACCCACATACACCATCTAGAATCTCAGGGTTAGGCTACCAGCTACGAGTAGGCTACTGTTAGGCTACTGAGGGTCATAGTGTTCAGTGGTTCCCAAAGTCTAGAGCCTTGTCCAGAAATTCTCTTTCCACACCTTTTTCCTGCTAATTTCTTTCTTTTTAAAAATACTAGTATCTTTTGTACTTTGTTTTGGAAGGAAGGTTGTTTACCTATACCTACCTTGGAAGACAGTGAGTTTCTCATTCCCAGAGATGTTTAAGCACAGAAATGGTATAAACTGGGTTTATATATCAGATATCTCGTTCAGTTAGAGCAGCAGTTCCCCAAAACAGGCTGTGGCGTAGGCTACCTCCAAGTCTCCTGGAAAGTTGTATTTAAAAAAAAAAACAAAAAAAAACTGAGGACCCAGTTTTGGAAATTCTCATTCAGAATATGTAAGAGCCTATCAGAATCTATATATTGAAAAAGAAGCCCAAATGATTTGGAGGTGCAGCCAGGTTTGGGGATGTGTCTGTGTTGATGGTCCCTCAAGGAGTAGAATATTCTGCAGAAAGCATTATAACTTCAAGGTACTCTAAGTTTAAAATCCCTCCCCGGAATTTTTACCTGTCTCTTACTTAGGCCTTTTACTGGTCTGATGGACTACTTTGCTCATGTCAGCTCATAATGAATTCTTCTGTTTTTCTCTCTGGCTCTAGAAATTTTTAAAACACTAGCCTCATATCCCACCAGCAAGGAGATCATTTCCTCCATCACTTGCCCACACTATAATACCACAACAAAACAGCAGTAACCTGCTTCTAATGAGAACAAGCACATACATAGTTCTTCCACAGCATATCACTGTATTTTAACTACTCGGTCAAAAAGTCTTCCCCTGTGCTAAGTTATAGCTTTCATGCTGTTCTGGGTGTTGGCTTGGGGGGAACATGTAGTACACTTTTTTTCCCATGTACTGCCCCTCCAAGCATATGAAGACAGCCAACTTTAACCCCTTATGACATATCCAGTCTTCACATGACTTCTCAAAATAGAGATGTTATGTGCTTAGGAAAAACAATGTTCAGTTTAGCTTCAAGAATAATTCATCTGCCCTGAGCAAAACAAAAACATATGTCCCTTGAATGCATTGCAGGCAAGTGATTTTTGTTTTCATCAGCTGTTTTGAAGTGTTTTCTCCCCAACTAATACATATAATCACAGGTTGACTATAATGGCAAAATGGTTCCAACACCATAACTCAGGGGTGAAAGAGATAGAATCATTTTTACCGTGTCTCACATGTTTTATGCTGTGTCTTTGGGGTTTGAAAAAGAGTTATGTAGCCCTTTGTGTCAATGAAAGTGTTTGCAGGAGAGAGCTTTGAGAATGAAGGAGTAGGGAGCAGTAAAACTCATTTTTCACTTTCTGGGCCACGTTATGTTTGGAAATGCATTTCATTCCTTAAAAATTCAGTCACCCTTGGAATTTGAGTTGTTCTTTACAACTTAGAGCAGCAGTCAGTCCTGGTAGGTTCGGGGACAGAATAAGAACAAATCCCTTCCTTTACCCTTACTCTCCTCTTACTGTGTGACTATTGAGCTGATGCAGTGAACAGATTTATTCACTCAACAGTATGAGACAGTCCTTGACGGCGAGAACAGCGGCAGCCTGCAGCAGCTGGCATACCACACTGTAAATCGTCGCTACCGTGAGTTCCTGAATCTACAGACCCGTCTGGAGGAGAAATCGGATCTACGAAAGTTCATCAAAAGTCAGGAGTTTCCCCAGCCCTGAAATACCTGCTTGCTTTTCACTTCTAGCCACCTTGACCTGAGAGGCTGGTGGCCTGTTGGCTTGTGGGAGGGATGGAGGCAGAGAATGCAGCATCAAGGGTCCTTTGCTCACCCCCACCCTCAGTTTGCATTCAGGTAACGTGTGTTTAGTACTGGGCAGCCATGGGCACACTGTTCCTGAGGTGCTTTTTTGTCACTGAATGCTTCGTTCTAGGGTCCCACTCAGTTTAAACTGAAGAAAAAAACGTTCATGTTTCCCCTTATGTCTGTGACATGGCTTGAGGAGTTCAGTTGCTCTTAAATATTAAAATATTACCCAGAAATCCTTGCCAACTTTCCTTTAACAGCCAAGCTTTTTTAAGTATACTATAAGACATAGGGACAATAAGAAAATGTAATGAAATTTAACTCTAAAAATAAGCTAGTAAACAGCTACTTTTTTATTTTAAAAAAGCTAATGATCACCCAAATAAACATTTTAATAAGCAGAGGCATAAATTGTGGATTTCAGTTACGTATTTGTTTTCTTACTAACAATAGCCACTCCTGAGCCAAGCTTGAAAATATAGGCCAGGTTCTCTTCTAGGCACTTCATACATATTTAGCTCATTGAATTCTCATAACAGCTTATGAGATAAATACTATTATTATCTCTGCTTTACAGAAAAGAAACAAAGTCGGAGAAAGAGTAAGCAACTTGCTAAAGGTAGTTATAGGAAGAATTGTATCCTAAATTTCAACTTGGGCAGTTGGATTTCAGGGCCCTCATTCATAACCATTGTACCAGCTCACCTCTTATACGTCAATATTAACAATAATGGGAGTAGGCTGTATATATTATGTTTCTGGGGTATATTTGGAACTCCTAAAATGAAAAATCCCAGGGAACTATATTCATCAGTTATAATTTTTTACATATACAATGTGTTTTATATGGAGTAGCTCTTAATGAATGTTAAGTGGATAAACTTTTTTTTAAAGATGTGAAGGGTCCTAAAAAGCTCTTTCCGGATCTTCCATTTGGAAACATGGATAGTGACAGAGTAGAAGCCCGTAAGAGCCTCCTGGAATCATTCCTAAAGGTCAGCATCCTTGTGTTTTGGCTCTGCACTCATTTGACCCACCAGACACCCAAGCCAAAATGGAGAGATCTAGGGGACTGAAATTTCTCTTTGAAGTGCTTCTTGTGTCTTTTGCAGCAACTCTGTGCCATTCCCGAAATCGCTAATAGTGAGGAGATGCAGGAGTTCCTTGCTCTGAACACAGATGCTCGTATTGCCTTTGTCAAGAAACCGTTCATGGTCTCCAGAATAGACAAGGTACCAGCAGGGCCACTGTGCCCAGCCTTAGTTTCTCATCAGAGTGGAGGCAGTGCTTTAAAAATAAGGGGAGGAGGGTGGCGAGAGGCAGCACAGAGGAGTCAATAAAACATGGGCTAGAATTTTCAAGACCTGTTCCCAAATCTCTATTGGGTCATCGTCATGCTGAATTACAGTGAGCAACTCTGAATATCCCTGACACTGTAAGTGTGCACATGTCTCCTGGGGACATAATTCTAATGGAGGGATATAAGAATATATCTATACTTCCATAGATAGGCGGGGGCAGGAAGGTCTTTTCTAGAGGTGGAGGTCATTCCCAGGGTTGGTCACTGAGGAAGGAAGCTGCTAAGGCAGGACACTAAGCTGGATTTAGATTGGTGTAGTGGTTCTCTGCTGGACAACAGAGTGTCGGGAGACTTGGTACCTCCTTCAGGAAGTTATCTCAGGACCTCGGAGATGGTAGGAGGATGTGGAAGCCTGCAAGCAGTGATCACCAACTGATGTTACAATCTCCAAGGCAGAAGTCTGAGGTTTATGTTTATCAAAAGGTGTTGTGTTTTAAAAGGTTAGAAAACACTGACTCAGTAAAAAAGGTCCCTCCCTCTTCTCATCTGGACTTCAGGGGATAAAAGGATCAAGTGGAATTGCACCTGGTAGGAGCTAGGAGACATTCACTGCAAACTAGAGAGAGATGCACGAGGTAAAATTCCCAGAGTTCCACACGGACGTGTTCGTTCACTGATTCTTTGAACATCTACTTATTGCCTGGCTCTTTAAAGCTGTGACTGTACTAGCTGTTCATAATACAATAGTGAATAAAATAGATAAGGACTTTACTCACAGACCACAATTTTGGGAGCCTAGCAAGCAAGTTGTATTTTCCAAGCCACTTTAACCACATTCTGCATGCTTAGAGTGCTCCCCTCTGTGTCCTTTCCCTCGTTCGTTAGGCCGGAGTCCTGACTGTACTCTTACTGGACCTTTCCAGCCTTGTCCTAGCTCTGCTAGCTGGGCCCTTTCGGAGAGTTAGCACAGGGCTGAATTACAGTAACCTCGGGGCTGCTCCACACCAGCGGTAGTCATTAGTGACTTAGGCTCCAAAGGAAACTTAAACGTCTCCTCAGTATTACAGGGCTTCATTTGTACAGTTTTTTTTTTTAGCAAATATTTAAATGTCATTTTCCCATTCTGAGAAACACAGATAATTCTTTTCATTGAGGATTGTTTTGTTAGTCTTTCTGAGTAGAGAAGTTTATATCAACTTCAGATTTCTTCATTTTGACCTGAGTGGTTTTTGTTCTTCTTTCTATACTTAAAGAAGAAAATAGTTCAAATTAACTAGAAAAGCCAGTTCTTTCCTCTGTGTGAATTACTCTGAACATATTCTTTTTTTATGTGCCTTTAGACTGTATTTCTTATTTTGGTAATCTTCACTCTTCCTGTTCTTCATATATTCCCGCCTAACATTGCATTACTTTGTTTATTCACATCTTGGTGAATGTATCACTTTGGAATCTAAAAATTACTCTTTTATATACGAAGAAACTGAAAATGAAAAATATTTCACCAGCCTACAGAACTCTCAGGTTTTATTTACCCCATTGTTTCCTTCAGTTTCTTTTCCCATGATGTTGTTTGTCTTAACTCTGTGAGAAAGATTTTTATGGCCATAGAGAAGAGGAAGAATAGTTGCCACTTAATCATTAGGTGATATCTGCCTGTGCTGATGGATAAGGCTCCCCTAGGTAGCCTAGCTATCGCCCCATCCTGATTGCATAAGGCACCAGGAGGATACAGTAAAGCTCATTTACTGGTTTCTGTCTGACCCTGCACCCCTGACCCCTGCAGATGGTGGTGAATGCTATCGTGGACACCTTGAAGACGGCATTTCCTCGCTCTGAACCCCAGAGTCCCACGGAGGAACTGAGTGAGGCCGAGACAGAAAGCAAGCCCCAGACAGAAGGCAAGAAGGCTAGCAAGTGAGAAGCCCTTCAGTCACCCGGGGCCCTTTCTCAATCCTCAGCCAAAGCCCATCCCCAACTCTCAAGCTCGAGAAGAGAGGAGATGAGTCTTACATACTAGTTTTTCTGCCCAGCCAGACCTCAGACTCCTCAGAGCTCAACTTAAAGGAACCTGAGACCCCGCATGGGCAGCCCTGCTGTGCATTTGTCTTGCCATGGGAACCCAGGGCCCCAACCAACCCGGGATTTGTGACTAGAAGGAAAACTCCAGGATATAGATATTTCCCTTTTCCATTTTCCTGGGAAATTGAGATGTTCTTTCCCATTAAGAGCTAAGGCCTGTAACTGTTCTCTGCTTGCCATCATTCCTGGAACTCTTGGCTCAGAAGTTGCGTGTAGTAGCCATAAACGGGGGAGAGTGAGAATGGACACCTGCAGGGCCCACTTAGTAACTGGTCATTGCTGCCATTCCTGTACCAGGTCCCAGATGTTCCCTGGCAGAGCCCCACGTGGAAGGGAAGGGCACCACCACGCTCACCCTCACTGGAAATTTTATGTCTGTGTCTGGGCGACTATGGAGAGAAAGCATGTGGTGGAGAACATTTGTATGGGTCTGTTTGTCTGGCTGTCTCTTTGTCTCTGTTCAGGCTTCATGGGCCAGCAATGACACAGTTCTTAGCCTTTTTTCACTGGGCCCATACTTTGAAGGGTGACCATAGGCCTGGGCTTATGAGAATCCTAGTCCTGAACACAGTGAGGTTAGCACTTGCAGTCCCTTCCCTGGTTTTATTTGGAACACAGGGAGAAAGTGGGTGTGCGAAAAGGTACTGGCAACAGGAACAAAAACCTGTGCCACTTGTCTGCTCCTCAGCAAATATTTAATGCATGTTTAGCATGTACTAGCCACTCTTGTAGCCTCTGAGAGTTAACTATGACATTTTTACATTAGCAAAAGCACTTCCCCAGATGCACTGTAGACAAAGCTTAGTGCAAGAGTTACACTAGTACTAAAATTTCCAGAATATATATTGTTCGGGAGATTTCATGGCCAGGTCCATTCTGGCAACTCTGACCACCGTAAGCCCCCAGAATAAGTATAGGTACATTTGTTTTGAGGTCTTAATACTTGTCATCCCTTTCTATAGGAATCAAGATCATGAATTACATCCTGTTTTTGCTCTTTGTTTCTGTACTAGGTCCAGGCTGAGGTTCCCATCCAGTAAAATTGCTCCAGCACTGAATATGAATGAACCACATGAGAAGATTCTCTACTGTCTCCAGGAGAGCAATGTGGTGAGAAGTTCCTTGAGAACTCCTGGAATGAATAGCTGGGAAGTTGGTCCTGCAGATACAGGCACTTAGGACATTCTCCAAAGTCCGAAAGGACCTGGGTGACTTGCTAAACAACTTACCAACGTCTGCATCTCTAATTTTTATTATGAAAGTATTTTCTCCAAATGGTTTGGAATCACTACTAGTTCTAGGTTGGTAGTTTGGCTTCTCAAGGGTCATGGGTGTGGGATAATGTATGGCAGAATGAGAAGGAAAACCAGTTCCTGAAAAAGAACAGATAGCCCGAAAGTGTCTGCAGCCAGTAAGAATATACAGGCCTTTGTTTACTTGCAGTCTTGGTAAAAAATAAAAGCTTCCCTGAAGTGCTCACAAGAGTCCGTTGGGTTCTGTGTTCCTGATACATTTGCAGGGAAGGGTCATGGACAGCCTAGAGTGCTTTGGTTGCTTCTCTGCTTTCCGCATTCTTTATGTGATGCTTCGCTGGCTCTCTCTCCAGGAGTCAGAGACCCTATCCATGTCTGCGATGGAATCCTTTATTGACAAACAGACAAAATTACTGCAGCCAGGAGAAGCCCCAGAAAAAGATCCTGAACATGCCCCCAAAGGACATTTGGATGATTACTTGTCAGATGTAGCCGTGCCAGCCCAAGACCTCAGCAACGATGATCCAAGTGAGTGACAAGATCTCCGCTTCCTCCCTGACTGGTTTGACTCAGTGGGTTGCCCTTCCTCCCGCACACCAAAAGGTTATTGTTCGATTTCCTGTCAGGGCATGTGCCTGAGTTGTGGACCAGGTCCCCGATTGGGGCATCTGAGAGGCAACACATCATTTCTCTCAGTGCATTGGTTTATCTTCTGTTCTGCTAAGTAAGCCACAGTTAAACACCAGAGCTTGAGGTACTGTGCTGAGTGCTGGGATACAAAGAAGAATACAGCTCAGTCCCCAGAGCTGAGTTGAGCAGGAGAACAGAGCATAAAGTCAGGGAGTTCCAGTCCAAAACAAGGTCCATACTTATCATATAGTTACCTCGTTGAAGTGCCTTTTGGTGTGCTTTGGCCTGTGTTTGAACTGCTCCCTTCAGCTGTTCCCTTAGGGTACATGGTACCACTTTCCTGGTTGGTCCCTCATCAGTCCCTTTTGTTGGCTCCCTTATTAGCCTTCCAGAGCTTTCTTTTGGCTCTCTGTTGTTACTCTGCACACTTCACCTGGGCAATCTCATTTGTAGCGTGGCCTTTAACTCTAATACACATGCTAGATGCCTAACATCAGATGTTGTATTTCCAGTTGCCTAATGGAAATCTGCACTGAGACATACCATAGGGCAGCTGAGATACAGCATGTGCAAAATGGAATTTGTCTTGTTCCCTAGATGTGTTCCTTTTGTTTTATTTCCTAACATGGCAAGTGACACCACCTAGTAACCCAAGGAAGGGCAGGGAGGGAGAGGAGGTGAGGACCCTACCCTCTCCTTGGAAGCATTTGAGGCAGGGCAGGCTTGCTTCCCAGAGGAATAAAGGGGAAGAATTGGGAGCCCTGGATATTGGTATATCTGCTGAACTAGAATTTATAAGAAGAAAAAGTTTCAGTTCTGCCAAGATGAAGGCTCCTGCTGAAAATAGAGATCACAAAATCTTGGGTTCAGAAGGAAAATTAAAAAAAGTTTGATTGCACGAACAGTCACCTGACCTGTGCCCTGTGGACCTCAGCCTAACTGTGTGAAAACAGAGTACAACCCCACCTCTTCACACATATCTCATTTGTCACGTAAACAAAGTATTCTGACACCAAAATCATGAGAAAACTGCAAGAAATTATAAAAGGGACTGGGTAAAACAATCAAGTCCAGATCAAACCTGTAAATTTTGAATATCCTGTCTCTAAAGGAATTGTTTATGTTTGAGCCCTTCTTTGAGCCCTAAGAGACTCAAAATGCTTGTTGATAGAAAATTTGCCAGTTTTTTCAAGAGCACCTGGTGCCTTGTTTGCTTTCTTATTTTGTACTGTTATGAACATTGTCGCCACATGGTGGCAGCTCTATGTAAATCCTAAACCTGAGAAAATAATAGAATTCAGGAGGGTGACTAAGACTCAGAAGGATGCTCTTTCCCAAGGAAGTCAAATATCACATCTTTGAGCAAATGACTGGAAAGCGAACTCATCAGCTCCCATGCACCCTTAAAATACAGTACAGAAGAAAGAAAATATACATTGGATGGAATTAAGACGACAGTAGGTTTTATTTCTAGCAATCCATCCAAGTCTGAGGTCATTCATGTTCTAAAAAGAATCCGTAAGGGAGGAGAGCATGGGTAAGCTAAGAGAATACCCATTGGTGCTAGACTAACAGAATTATCATTGGTGATTAATTACAATATTAATGTCAGCAGTAACACCAGATAGCTAAGATTCATTCAGGGACATTATGTATCCCTGAGAAAGTCTCCCAGGAACCAAGTCAGAGGTGACACAGAGTCCCTTCAACAGGGTTAGAGAAAGATGCTTCCAGCCGTAGAATACATCTTTTCAGGAGACTTCAGTTGAGCATGGGTGTGAGCCCATTTGGGGCCAGGCTTTGAAATAGGAAAGAAATCAGTAATTGTCCTGGCATTTTCCCAAAGGCATAGTGCTTTTCCGAAAACCACATATTGTCTCAAAACCAAACTGAAGCTTCCTGGATCCCAGCCCAACAGCTCTGTGTAATGGAGATGCTTTCACCTGGGAGATGCTTTAAACTGGAAAATAAACCCCAAATCTCCCCCACACCTGCTGCCCACAACATCTCTGTGATATTTGGGGAGGCGAGTGGAATAGAAGTACAGAAGAGGCCGGGCCTTGCCGGGTCCATGTAGTCACCAGTTGTGAGCGCTTACCTGGGGCCAGATATATCCAGCTCTAGGGGACAGTCAAAGGAACAAGCTAGCAGGCAAAATAATTGTATACAAAGTCTTTTTTAAAAATTAAAAAAATTTTACTAGGTGACTAAGAGTTGTAAAGAAATGCAGAGCCTACCACTGAACTTTTTAGATCTGAAATAGACATCTCTTGATATGATATAAGAAATGCTGGATTATAAAAATACAGATAAGATAAAGGTAGAGAAGACCCAGTGCCTTGAAACATGTCCCTCAAGTACGAGTCTCTTCTGATGTCTTTTCATTGTCCAGGAACAGAGACAGAGTTAGCTGACACAGCCCTAGAGCTGCTCCTCTTGCTGCTGACAGAACAGTGGAGGTGGCTGTGTACGGAAAACATGCAGAAGGTTCTTCATCTCACCTTCGGGACCCTAATTCAGAGGTAAGACCGGTGAGTTCTTCACATTAGGGTCTCGAGCTGGACAGGGGTTGCTGTGATACCGAGCTCTCCACTAGGAAGGGAAAGGGAAAGGCACCTGGCCTCGAGGCCAGGGAACTCGTGGTCATGAAGGAAGACAGGGTCTCTGTCACAGAGGCGCAGAAACGAAGACCGCCTGCAGTCTTCTGTACGACCCTGGCCCTAACCTGCTGAGTACAGACTCTGCCTGGGATTGTAAATACTTCAGCTGAACTCTTCCTGCTCCAGGGTCAAGTCCCACCCAGTTCCATCCCCACACCCTCTACCTCTCACCTTGTTTTGGTGGACATTTGTCTTAAGTGACAGTGTATATAGACAGTGACAGTAAAAATAAGAATGTTGTGGAGAAAACAGATCAGTGTTCTCATAGATTATTTTCTCTGAAAGTGATATAAATACAATTAAAGAAGCACTTACACAGAATAGTTAAAACTTGGATTTTGTAATTCAGGCTTTATAATCCTAATACCACCTGAATCTCCTGAAAGATTGGTGCACAGTTGGAGTATTTAGCTGCTGACTTCTAACCATGTAACTGCCGCGCTTTGCTAAACTGAAGAGTACTGTCGCTGAACCAGACACACACACATAGCGTGTGAGGTTTGGCCACTCTGGTTTGGAGTTCACTCTCATGAGACATCCTGGCAAAGTTATGAGCCAGTCCTGACCTCTTCTGTTAGCATGTGGCTCATGCTTACAGGCACTCCAAAAATAAGAACAACTTTTAATAGAAGAATTACACATCTCTTCTACAACGTGTAGAAAATCCATCACCAACTGTTAAGTCTCCCCTCTCACACCCAAAGTTACATAGGATCAGGAAGGGTTAGGTAAGCCTTAATCATAAAGAGACTAAGTCAAGGAACGGTGCACATTTATATTTGCTGAGTGCTTCTCATACACCGCCATCCGACCTCTGTTTGCACATATTTTCTTACAGCAACCAAGTGAGATAGGTAGCCCCATCTTACAAAATCAAATAAGAAAACAGGGCTTGGCAAAGCCAACTGACCTGTCCAAGGCCATAGTTAATGACCCACCTGGAATTTGAAGCTAGATGCACACAACTTCCACACCAGTGAGCTCTTTCCTACCCATTATGGCCTGGTGACTGGCTGTATGTGAAACCCACATAGAAAATGTTGGCTGGTCTAGGTGCCTTTAGGCTTACCCCCTCGTCCCTTCCATGCACTCTGCTCTCTTACTAGAGTATGTGTTTTAAAAAGCAGGTGTGAAGCACGTGCTCTGCACTAAACGTCCTTCAGGGGCACTCTGTTGCCTACAGAAGTGATTTTCCCAGTGTTTCCTAGAGTTCCAGGATTCCTCAGAGGTTCTTCAGAAGCCACCTTGGAGGCTAAGGGCGAAACTAAGTGGACCATGATCCAGTGAAATCAGTTCCATTTTTGTTTATCCTCACTTGAGGGTATGTTTATTGATTTTAGAGAGCTTGAGAGACAGAAACATCAATTGGGTGCCTCCCGTACATGCCCCAACCAGGGATCAAACCCCCAACCTAGGTATGTGCCCAGACTGGGAATCGAACCAGCAATCTTTTGGTGCACAAGATGACACTCCAACCAACTGAGCCACTTGGCCAGAGCCAAAGTAGTTCCATTCTGACCAATTTAATAGACTGGGGATCTAGGTAAGGTTTTGTTTGAAAAAAGGGCTCCACTGTGTTTAAAATACATGTATATTCATTCATTATTCATTCATTCCACCTCTTTTCTTACTTGGCACAATCTGGTCCCAGCCGCATTTCCAGTTCTCCCCCATGTAAACCATCCATTGTTGCCTGAGCATCCCATGGTGTCTCTTCTTCGAGGCCCTTGCTCCTCCTCTTGTTTCCACCTGAGTAGTATCTACTCATTCTTCTGCCTCTTTCTGTGCCCCATGCTGTCTCTGCTCTTGTCTGCTTGGCCTACTAACTATTTTTCCAAAATTGAGCATTGTGTCAATTTATTCTATAAAACTTTGTATGACATCTTCTCCCGCTTTCTGTCAGCACTCATGAGTCTTTTCTTTATGTGCAGTTTTGATAATAATACTTATCACAGTGTATTACAGAAATGATCTACTTCCCTTAAATAGTGGTTCTCAGCTGGGAGGCATTTTTCTTCCCAGGGGTATTTGGCAATTTCAGGTGTTTTTAATTAGCTGTCCCTTCTAGCACATACAGTCCAGGGATGCAGCTAAACCTCTGGACTGCACAGGGCAGCACCTTCCCCACCCCAACAACAGTGAATTACTCCACACAAAATATCACTAGTGCAGAGGCTGAGAAAGCTTGCCCTGGACTACCAGGTCTTTAAGGGCCAGAACTAGCATTATTATATTTCCAGCAACTTACACAGTGCCTGGGCTATAGAAGATGTTCATTCCTGGATAAAAAGATAAACATTTCTCTTCTCAATACCTTTCTACTTAAACGTAGAGGCTCCTAATGTTTTATTCTGTCACTTGTGAATGTTCTAATTAAGCCTTCATTTCTCTTCTTCCTCTATTAGGCTTCCTTTGCCGATCTTCCTAATGCTTTCAACAAATGGGAAGGTTCTAAAACTAGCTAGTATGTGATCATTGATCACTTCTTCCCTTTGAAGTAATTTACATGAGGAATTGGTTTCAGAACACAATAAATTATTTAGTAGGAACAGAAAAATGTCGATGAGTCGGGAGAAATTCAAAGATATTAAGATGCTTAGGTAGAAAAGGTAGGAAGAAATTTACCTGAAATTTAAATAACTCAGCATATTAAAGAGCTTGAATCAGTACTAAATAAAGTAGAGAGAAATGTGTATTTGGGATCTGCAGGCAGATCATTGCAGAAAGGGTATTTTGTGTGGCATGCATTCATGGAGATCTAAAACCGGAAACTTCCATACACGGTGCTTGCAGGCTGTGGGGATCCCAGGCCAGGTTGCGTCACCTCGGTGGGCAATGACTATGAACTCCCTAGAGATGGGGAAGAGACAGCAGTAAGTGGAGTGGCTGCCATCTGAAGGAGTGTGTTGTGCATGGGCGTGCTCGTTACGCTGCTTCTTCATCTGACTGGCAGAGATTTGTTCAGGCTGTTTTGTAGCATTCATCCCACTTTCCCTGAAAATGCTTATAACTCTCTGTCCAACTGGGGAATTGTTTTGGTCTTATTCCTTATTTATTGAAAAACAGTAAGGGCTTGTCAGTAGTGAACAAAACAAACACAGTCCCTACTCTCAACATATTTTACAGGTTAGTGGGGGTGAGAACTGAGGGCCTTATGTTTGTGTGGTGGAACCAGAAGTCGAACCCAGGTATCCAAAGCCCAAGCCCTTGTCCACTACAGCATACCGCTGCTCTGCTGTATGTAATCTCCCTGAGCTTTGGTTTCCTCATCTGGAAAGCAGGAGTGATAATGGTATCTATGTCTCTGGGTACATGGAACATGTCCAGTGAATGTTATATCCTAATATTTGCTCTTCAGAAAAAGGAAAGAAGGGTAAAAAGTATTTTGTTTCTATTTCCTTTAGCTAGTACCCCCAAATTTGTTCCATTTTTTAATGTCTTCAGGCTACCCCTGTTGTGCCTGTCCTTTTCAGTTATTCAGAACATACTTGGCCCTCTTCTCAGATTTCTTGTGCCAGGTTTACAGTATTCTTGAAGCTTCCTTAAGATAGGAGTCATGATACCTGGAGGAAGAATCCCAGCTCTAGACCAGCAAGATCCCGTGTACATGGTGCACACAGAAAAGTTGGGCTTATTTCAGGGTTCCAATGTCGACACTGATAATCCCATCAGCTTCAGGATGTTTACCATCCAGCAGACATTGCTTGAGAGTTTACTTTGTACAGACACTGTGCTGAACACTGCAAGCATATTATGCGATTTAGTCCCCTCAAAAGCCCTGTGAGAGAGATATCAAGATCCCCAATTCAAAGATGAGGAAACCGAGGCTTAGAAAGAATTATGGTTGTTCAATCAAAATTACAGAGCTTATAAGTATACCACAGGCAGACTCCAAACCCAGGTTTGTCTGATTTTCAGCTATCATGACTATCTCTCAGGATCAGACTTTTGATGTGAAAGGATAAAAACCAATTCAAAATTCACTTTGTAAAACCCAAACTGCATTTCCATGTATGCACACTTGCAGCACAAAGGGCACTGACCTGCCCTAAAGCCAGCCTATGTTCCTTGTCCCTGACAGCTTGCCTTTTTTTATTTTTAAAAAGAGGTTTGTGCAGTGCTACATTCTTTGGCTTTGCTTTGGTAAGCAAATAAACTGGAATTTGATAGCTCCTCAAAGCTGCAGCCCTCCCCCACCCCAGCCTGCCACCACTACTCCCTGGGGGAGGTAGCATGGCCCCAGCCGGCTCAGTGTTGCCCTCCCTGAGACTGTCCCCATGACCATTGTCCAGCAGGCGGCACGTTTCTTCCCTCTGCGGCCACGGGTGTCTGAGCTGGGCCCTTGTGCAGAGGACTTGAATCCTTTTCTTTGAGCTCTGCACTTCAAAGAGCAGGGTGGCTGGTGTTAGGGCCACAGGCAGCTTCGGCCACTTCTCTGGTTGTCTTGATGAACACACTGCGGTTATCAGGGGTAGAACAGCCATCTGGACTTAGATGCATCTCCTCCCTCCATCACTCTAACCTCCAGCATGGTCACCGTCAAGATGATGAGTTCCCTTTTCCTGCTTCCAGCTTTGTTTACTCTCCTCACTGCCTTGAAAGACCCGAATACAGAACTCCCTCCCAGGGAGTTCTGTCAGACCTTAAGCCTTCCTTCTCATTCTCTCTCTGTGTCTCTCTCTGTTTCTTTCTGTCTCTCTCCCTCTGCCCCTCCCTCCTGCCTTCCCTCCTTTCCTCCCCTGCAAAGAAAAAAAAATAAAAAAGAGTAAATTCAACCTCATGACCCCTCCTAAGCCAAGTTGGGAAGAGTCCTGGTCTGAGACAGCTTCCATAAATCTCCCTTGATTGTTGACAGTGTGGGG